CTTGAATATACATCCAGTCTCTCCTTGGCCTGGCAGAGGCACTATTGTCAGCTAATCTGTGGTGGCCCTGCTGGGATGGTGTTGAGAAGACTGGGGCACAGGGAAGCTCCTTCTCTGGTCAATGAAGGAGAAGGAGACTAAGACCTGGGGCTCTGCTCCCAACACTGTCCCCCCCTCCACCAGCCAGTTCCTTCTCAGAGGTTTTCCTATCCTCTCTTAATTGCTCAAATCTCTCTTGGGCCTGAACTGGCTTGATATTTTGTAGGCAACTTGCAGGGCACTATCAAATTTCCTCAGCCAATCTCAAAATTCTCCTTATGCAACTTCTCTCCAATTGATCTAGTCCAGACAATAATCATACTGTCATAAGCCTGTGATTGATTAGTTGAGATATTCTCACCTGGTTAAGGCATCAGTGCATGGCATTTTCTAATTTACTTTAAATGGGGTGGGGGTGACTTGAATGATTTATACTCAACTCCCAGCTACATTTGTTACAAGAAAGCATTTGATTTCAGTGATGGAAGGGGAGGAAGAGAATTCTAATAGTGAAGAAAGGTGCTTCAAGATACTGTAGCTTAATGGCAAAATCCGTTAAAAATGATCTAACTCTTTTTGTTACACATTAATACTTGAGGGTAACCAACTGGCTTATATGAACCTGGTGAGTTAGGGGGATGTCTACCCCAAGCACACGAAGATTTTCCTAGCAAAATGTGCAGATGAGAACAATTTGTTCTAAAGGCATGAAGGCAGCTAAAGCAGTTTGGTCAGACATCTAAGACACTAAGGTCATCCATTGTATCCCGGGTCATTAACAGTTGTTTTGACTTTTGTCTTGCCGCTAGATTTTGATGAATCTGGAAGAGAGAATGAGGTTGATGATTTTGTGAAACTTTGCCTCATTTCAATCCAATTCACTTCAAAGTCAAGATACCACCCTGTGATATCATTGGTCCTTATTGAAAACAACAATACGTGACCAAAAAGCATTTATTGGGGCAGCTAAGTGGTGCAGTGGATAGAGCACTGGCCCTGGTTTCAGGAGGACCTGAGTTCAAATGCAGCCTCAGACCAAACACTTGACACTTACTAGCTGTGTGACCCTGGGCAAGTCACTTAACCCCATTGCCTAGCAAAAAACAAAACAAAAAAACCAAAAAGCACTTATTATGAGCTTACTATTTGCCGGATACTGTGCTAGGCACTGGGGTTCACAAACACAAAAGATCTTTGAGGAACTTGATTCTCGTTGAGAAACTTGGCTTTCCCTTTTGGGAAGGAAAAGAAAGCACAGAACAACAGACAGTAATATCTGTTCTATAAGAAGTTATATTTCTTACTGTAAATAAAATGACATTCTGTTTTAACAACCAGTGTTCTGCAAGTTTCTGGGTGGTTTTTTTTCTTTTTTGGGGGGGTAGGCAATGGGGTTAAGTGACTTTGCCCAGGGTCACATAGCTAGTAAGTGTCAATTGTCTCGTCTGAGACCTGATTTGAACTCAGGTCCTCCTGACTCCAGGGTCAGTGCTCTATCGGATTGTTTTTTTTCTTAAGCATGAATGAGTTCCCCAGAGAAAAGAGGTTCCCCCAGAAAAGTGTCCCTACTTCTGGGTGTACATTGAAAATTGAATTTATAGAATTATCAATTTAGAGCTCAAAGGGATTGTGAGGCCATTTAGTCCAATCCCCTCATTTTACATATGAGTAAAACTGAGGCACAGAAAGGTCTAACTTGCTCAAAGTCACACTATTAGTAAGTGCTTGAGGCAGTACTGGAACAAAAGACTTCCTGACTTCAGGGTTACAACACCACACTGCCTTTCCTTAGCCTATTGATCTGAAGAACAGAATGCTCCTGTTAGCAGCCCAGCTTGAGCAGTCAACTGACCTATCATTCCTGACCATTTCTTAACTTCAACCTGTTTTAGTTCCCTAATTAATTATAAGCTCATTGAGGGAAAAAACTGGATTTTTCATAAACCAGTAAGTAATTATAAAATACTATGTGCTTAGGATTGTGATAGATACTTGGGGAACACAAAAACAGTAGGAGATGTCTATACTTTAAAGAAGTTTATAATATAATAATACTTATAATATTTCAGTAATATTTGTGTTAATATTAGCACCAATATCACTATAAATTTTTTGGATGACATTTCAATCTTTATATTTTATACATATATTTCTCTTAAGAAAAAAACTTTTACTTGATCCTACCATCCTTTCAAGCTACGGTCCCTTTCACAGCCAAACTCTTAGAAAAAAGCTGTCCTAGTAGTTGCCTCCATTTCCCTATCTTCTAGTCACTTCTCAGCCTCTTGCCATCTGGTTTCTGTGCTTGCCACTCATATGAGGGTCCTAATCACAGCTCTGATGTTTACTACTCATGTGACCTTGGACAAGTCACTTAACCTTCATTTTCCATCTGTAAAATGAGGAAGTTGGACCAAATGTCTTCTGGGGTCTCTTCCAGTTCTAGGTCTATGAAATTTCTTTCTAAAGTTGCCAGTGAACTCCTTATTGCTGAATTCAGGACTGTTTCCTCCTTCAGATTATCGCTCTTCCCTGGGTTTTCTTGACACGGCTCTGTCGTGATCATCTTATTTTTCAGACTGATCCTTGATGATGAACCCAAGTCATCATCCGTGTCCCTGTCCACTATTTATGTGTGTACCCCAGGGCTATGTCTCAGATCTTCTCCTCTCTATTCTTATTAGAGCCTTAGAAATTAGAATTAGAAATGTATTAAATTTATTAAAGTTAAAAATTAGAAATCTATGTGGATTTCATTAGAGCCTATGGATTCTACTCTATCCAGTTGATTCTCAAACCTACATATTCAGTCCTCATCTCCTGAGTTTTAGTCCTGTATCTCCAACTGCCCATTTAGCATATATGTGTATATATAGATATAGATATAGATATATATGTACATATATATCTAGACAAGTATATGGATATTTGTGTATAGATAACTATGTGTGTATAAATATATATGACTTGTCTAGATATATATGTTCCTAAACATACATTATCCACATCCTAAACCTATTATCCTAAGTATATATTATCCACATGACTTGTCTAAATGTATATGTTCATATATAGCAAGTATGGCTACATAGAATATGTATCCACACGTGTGTATACACACACATAATCGCATGACATTTAAATGTGTAGCTGAAGTTTGTGTCTGGAAGAAATAGATATCTGGAATTTGGCCCACTTCTCTCCAAGGGACAGAAATGATACAATAGGCTAAGAAGAAAAGTCACTTCTCTGGTTTCTCTTAGGGAGGTACGGTACCCCTTAGTCTACTTACTAGATTAGCCCTTTGAATAGCAAATAAATCATTTATTTAAGCAAAATGGCAAATAGAAATTGGAGTTCTACAGATTAGAATACAGAAAATACACAAAAGGGAATGTACTTTTTTTTGCTGGGAGTAAGATAAGATCTCAGCTCAAGCCAAGACAGAGGCCTCAGTATCACCCAAAGGGAAATTTTCTTCAAAGTCTTTAAGGAGAGAAGCTGGAAATTAGGCACACTGTGAGAAGCAGGCTTTCCCTACATGTCTGCAGTTTCCAAAGTCTTGCTTTCTCTCTTCTCTGAAATCTCCCTTGCTACATGTGTCTCTGTCAGAAGCTCTGGCACTAACTTTTCCCCCATATAGATATGCAGGGTTGCCTTGGCATTCTTGTGGCCAATTAGATGTCATGTCTCCCCTTCATGACCCTCTTGGGTGGGAGTCAAGGTTACATTAGTGTAATAATAAGAACTATTGCTGGGCCTAGGGGATGTGTGGGGTGATAGTCCTTTCCCTTTCTATGAAGGTGCCCCCTTCATCATTCAAACTGTGTTCAGTCCTGGAGAAGCCTGGCCCCTACTGAGAGGTCAGGTTTTTTTGTTTGTTTTTTGTTTGTTTGTTTTTCCTCCACATTCTCTGGTTCTAACCCTTGAGCCCTGGGGAAAAGTATTTAAAGCTAAGATTTGGTTCATATCTGGTCTCACCAGTGGGGAGCTGGGGATGAGAGAAATAGAAAGGCACTCAATGTATAATGAAGATCAGGAATACGACAATTATTTATTTCCTCTACATAAAAGAAATGCTAAACCCAAAAGACTCACAAGCATGCATTGACATGACTTAGGCAAGCAGCAGTAATAACTTAAAACTACTTCTTATACTTACTCAGGAGGTTGACATTTAGAGCATAAAAACACAAAGTGTTTTCCAGGACTGCTGAATTAGCATTTATTTCACCTTCATTTTGGTTTTGGACTGTCCAAAGGAATCCCTCCAGGTCCACGGCTTCTGACGAGCCAGGACAAGAGTAGTGCTCATTCTTTCGAGAGTCCTCTTCTCCAACAAGCACTTGGATAATGACCAGGGGCTTCCCTCAAATTGGTGCTGACACTGACTGGGGACCCAAAATCTCCCAACCTCTCCAGTATAAGGTCGATTCAGTCAGCTCTACTCAAGAAAGGAATGAAGCAAAGGGGACAACCCTGGTCCCAGGCTAAGGCTCACGTTCACATGCTTTAACTACCAGGTACTCACA